GAGAAAGAGAAACATTGATGAGAGAGGACATTGATTAGCCACCTCCTGCATGCCCCCCACTGGGGATCGGGCCCCCAGCCTGGGCATGTGCCCTGACCAGGAATCAAACCAGTGACCTCTTGGTGCATGGGTCGACGCTCAACCACTGAGCCACACGGCTGGGCTAGAATACAACATTTAAACATGGCTTACGAAGGCATTTCACACCAGGGGGGACAGTGGACAGTTAGATAAATGGCGAAGGCACACCTGGGCCGTGTGGAAGAGCAAAGCACTGGCCCCACTGTATTCTGTGCACACAACCTCTGGTTCACACAGTCAGATAGTGAGATATAAAAGGAAAGAAAAAGAGGGAGGGAGGGAGGAAGGAGGGAGGAGGGAAGGGAGGAAATAATAGGAAAAAAGTGATTTTTAAAAATAATTATGGAATAAGATTTTTAAAGCATGATGTTAACTTGAGATGCCATAATGGAAAAAGATTGATAAATTTGACACATAATATAAAAATCTATGTAAAGCAAACATATATCAAGTTAAAAAATTGAAACAATATTTTTACTTTGATGGATATAGATATAATACACACACACACATATATACATACATACATGCATATTATATTAGAGAATGATTTATATAATACCTAAGGAACACTTATGAATCTATAAGAAAAATATCAACAACTCAGTAGAAATATGGATCAAGCATGAGAATAAGCAAATCCTAGAAAAAGAACATAGATGCTTAATCTCATGAATAAATGTAGAAATACAAGTGAAAACAGAGGTGTCTTACCTTTCCAACTAATAGAAGTTTTTAAATTATTGATGACACTGTATACTGTTAACAATATAGGAAACAGGCTTTTTTTATACACTCTTGGAGGTGATGAAAATGGACTCCTTTTTTTGGAGTTCAGTAGGACAGTATCCTTCAAAAAAAACGTTCTAAGCTTACACTTTGATCTGACAGTTTCACTTCGAGAAGTTCCCCCTGCAGCTCTGCCTGCACAGGCGTGTCAGGGCATGTCGTGTGACCACATCTGTGCAGTGGGGAGAGCACACGCTGTCCACCACGTCTGCTGACGTGAGGAGATCGTCAGAGGGGAGACGGGCATGTGCTGCTTCTGTGAAAATCAATGGAGTGGATGCGTATTCCACGACATCCGCCCAGAAAATGCGTGGAAGGATATATTACTTTTATAATATATATTTTTAAAGTCTATTTGCCTTTTATTGAAAAACCATTAGATTCTGGGCACTCTAATGGGGTTATAAATTCTTCAAACTCACTGTTTGTATTCTGTAGTGCTCAAAAACTAGGGACTGGTTCATCTCTAAAGCGTCATATAAAACAGTGAATATTCATGTTCGTTTTCATAAATTTTTTTGTTCTCTTTTAAAAAAAATTAAGTCCCATCTTTTGAAAAGGCCATGTTCTCTTCAGCAAAGAGAACAGCCACATACACAAAAAAGATGTTCATAGTCCTTAAGCTGCCTTATTGTTGTCATCATTGTTATTTTGTCAGTATTTCCTTTTCCTTGTTTGTTAATACTTTTGATAATCTCAAAGACGAATTCTAACTTTTAAGGTTTACCAAAGAGGGACATTAGAGTTCTAAGATCAACAAATCCCACTAGTCCATGCTTTTAGCTCTCGTGTGCTGAATTTTACCTTGTATCCAACCTAAGTCTTATCAGATGTTCCCTACCAAGTGCTTGGAAGAAGGTATTTGAGGGTATAGATTTATTTTGCAGGCGATGAGTACACTCCTAAACTTAAAGGCCGTGGCTAGATAAATGTCATGGGAAGCCTACAGGACCAAGCTCAAACATTCGTAAATGAACTTTATCAAAATTCCACTAAGAGCTGTCAGATCCTGCCTGGCCGGTGTGACTCAGTGGATTGAGCATTGTCCCATGGACTGAGGGGTCCCGGTTTGATTCCTGGTCAGGGCACATGCCCAAGTTGCAGGCTTGATCCCCAGTAGGGGGCGTGCAGGAGGCAGCCGATCAATGTTTCTCTCACATCAATGTTGCTATCTCTCTCTCCCTTCCTCTCTCGCTAAAAAAAAAATCAATAAAAACAAAATTTTAAAAACGTTGTCAGATCCTTGCTTTCCTGTCGTTACTCCAGGTTAAGTTACACTGACAAAATCCCTCTCTAAGTTTCTGCCTGATTTACCTAGTGCCTTCTACCAAATAGTCTTCACCTTATGATTTTCTTTGTAACTTATAAGACAGCAAATACCATTCCTTAATACTAACCCCTGCTGCTGTAGAAGAATTCTAAAGTAATTTAAAAAGATGACAACGTTCTGAATGCAAATATTACCATCTATGCGTAGAAACGACATGCGGGAAAACTATGCTAGGCTATGTAGAGGAATTGAAATACAAGGAATGAAATGGGAAAATGAAGGATCTCTGTTTCAAGTGAGATCATTATACATGTGGGGAGCTAAGAGATACAAAAAGATCACTGGCTTCAACTTCTTTTTTCACGGGTGAGGAAGCGGCCATCAAGAGGGGTCACGTATGAATGGCTGTGCTGAGCTGCAGTCTCTGCAGTTTGCTGGTTGCATCACACTGCGTGTCTACCAGTGTACACATTCTTCTGCACATAGACTGTGCTTTTCTAAACATGCCAACCCTGTGGCCCAGTAGCTCCACTCCTGGGCATATACTCAGTATCATCCAAGAGACATGCAAGATTACTCATGGCAGCATTGTTGGTAATAGCCAAAATCTGTACGAAGGAAGGAGAAAGGGAAGGGGATTTGGAAAGAAGGAGGAAAAGGGGAGAAAGAAGAAAGGAGGAGAGGGAAGGGGAACCCAAATATAAATCAACAACAGAATGGATGAATCCATTGTGGTATATCTACAAGATGAAATATTACACAGCAATTAAAAAGAATAACTGATTTATGGAGCAATGTGGATAAATCTGGGGGGAAAGCACATTGTTGAGTGAAGGAAGTCAGACATAGGAAACTATGGAGCACCTCTGTGTTACTTATATGTCTGCTTATAAGCCCGTTAAGGTCAGGGCCTATTTCTCTGCATCTGTAGATCTCCAGCACCTACACATCTGGCATATAACAGGCACTCAATGTATAGGTATTGTAATGGAAGATACATGATATAGAAAAAGACACAAGGGAAGCATTTTTCTATTGAGAAAAGCAGCAGGAAATATAAGGCATAATTAAATCTCAGGTGTTTTTATGAGAGCACAGCCCATGGAAACCTGAAATATTAACTACAACTGACACTTGGCTAGGTATGACCACAACTAGACTATGGTAATATTTCAGACTTTTTCAATATAGACGCTGCCCATGGAGCCTGTGGTTTGACTCCAGAATTAATCCAACCATGATACCAAGCAGATGTAATACTTTTCTCTGTTCCTATTTTAGGAAGTCTTCTCAGTTCCTTCCCCTGATTCTTACTCTGTGCAACAGGAGAGCTGCTGAGTTCATGAGTCTGATTTTAGTACACCGATTAGGTCATGCTTTTGAGGATTTGTGCCTTGGGAACCAAACAAGCTTACACGGGAAGATGGCTTTCTCTGACTCTTGTCCTCTAGCCTTGCTGGGTGCACCGGCCCTTCATCTCATTGGGGTGATAAGTGTGGGGTGAGGGAAATGGAGCAGCTCTTCTGTCTGCATTGATTTCAGTCTCCTTTTACCCAGCTTCTGTAGGAATTAGGACCCTCCCACCGCATGGTTGGCTGAAGTTCATTAGTGCTCTACCCTGAGGTTTGGGCATTTCCCATCATAAAAATAAGATATTACATTGCTCCCCTGAGGCATTTGATTCTCTTGGGGACCACCCAGAAGGTGGGATGGCTAGACCAAGGTGGGATTGGTAAATTCTGGATTCCCTGGTCAGATGCCATCTTAACGCTTTTGTAAGACCAGCCTTTATAGTACCTCACTTTGTCATCCCTAAACACATAGCACAAGGGTCCTGGCTCTCTGTCTTCTGCCGTGGGTATGTCAGGCATTGATAGGTGTCGCTGTGGCATTCCTGCGTGTTATTCCAGGTTATTACGTGGAAGAAATCCTTGGAGTCTGAAGTAAAGGTGGGCTCATGTTTGAAGATGAGCCCTACTTATTATAGATCAGACAGGCTGGATGAATTCGAGCCCTTGGGGCAACCACAGGAACAAATTGTTGACCCATCGATGAAGGTGTGATCAGCTATAGAAGCACGGCTTTTTGAGCTGCAGTGCATTGTGCCCACGCAAGTTCACTGCTAAATATCGACCGACAGGATTTCAGTTCTTCTAGTAGGACCTTTGCATCAACAGGATGAAAAGACATGGTCCTGGGGGACTGGGTGAAAAAGGCAAAGGGATTAAGAAGTACAAATTGGTAGTTTCAAAATAGGGGGCAGTAAATTACATCGTAAGGAATATAGTCGCTAATATTGTAATAACTATGTATGGTGCCAGGTGGGTAGTGGAAATACTGGGGAATCACTTTGTAAAGTATATGATTGTCTGACCACTATACTATACACCTGAAACTAATACAAAGTAATATTGAATGTAAACTGTAATGAAAAAAATAAAGTAAAAAATAAAACACTCATTTTAATTTTACATTAAAATTTTAAAAAGAAAAGACATGGCCCTAACCATTTAGGTGGGTGAAAAATAACAATTTTTCCCACACGGAAAAAATAGATACGTACTTGCATATGCAAACTTCAAAGTGGTGATGTTACGTTTCGATGAAAGCGTGTTGAAAATGACCGTTGGCTCCGTTGGTTCCGGCAGGTCCAGTTCCCAGTCAGGGCACGTTCTAGGTTGCTGATTCAATTTCCAGTTGGGGTGCATACGAGAGGCAACTGACGGATGTTCCTCTCTCTCCCTTCCTCAAATCAATAAACCTCTCCTTGGGTGAGGATGAAAAAATTAAAGAATGTTGAAAATAAGTGTCGGTGAGGCCTTGAGAACGCGCTCACGTGTGTTGGTTTGTCGGTTTGCAGTTTAACTCCGCAGCGAAGCAGCTGATAGAATGGGACAAGCCTCCTGCGCGAGGAGCCGAAGCTGGAGAAGGCACCGCGGCGGCAGCTCCGAGCAGCACTGCCCCGAAGCACTCCGACACCAAGAAGAACACCAAAAAGCGGCACTCCTTCACTTCCCTCACCATGGCCAACAAGTCCTCGCAGGCGTCCCAGAACCGCCACTCCATGGAGATCAGCCCTCCTGTCCTCATCAGCTCCAGCAACCCCACGGCGGCCGCGCGCATCAGCGAGCTGTCCGGGCTCTCCTGCAGTGCCCCGTCTCAGGTGAGCCACCCGAAAGGCCTGGGCAGCGCTCGGCCGCAAAGGGACCTGGTCCCGAACGTGTTGGTTCACCAGCTGAAAAGTTCCATTTACTTATCCTTCCAAAGATGGGACCTTTCCTGGAGGACACAGCCTTTCTCGTTTTGGAGGTGGAAAAAGGGAGAAGGGAGAAATGACTTGAGCACATTGACCCAGAGCTATCTAGTCTTTTTTTTTTTTTTTTATCCTCACCCGAGGACATTTTTCCATTTTTTGTTCAGGTAGAGTGGGAGGGAGAGAGAGGAACAGAGAGAGAGAGAAACATCGATGTGAAAGGAACACATCGAGTGGCTGCCACCCGCACGACCGACCAGGTCTAGTCATTTTTAAAGGAAAGATCAGAATTGACAAGATGATTTAAATAATACTTATCAGGCCCAGCCGGTGTGGTCAGTGGTTGAGCGTCGACCCATGCACCAAGAGGTCGCCAGTTTGATTCCCGGTCAGGGCACATGCCCAGGCTGTGGGCCCGATCCCCAGTGGGGGGCAGGCAGGAGGCAGCCAGTCGATGTTCTCTTTCATCAATGCTTCTCTCTCTCTCTCCCTCTCCCTTCCTCTCTCTCTAAAATCAATAAAGAAAAATATTTTTAAAAAATAATAATAATACTTATCAGTGTCACTAAGCAATCAGGCAGGGTACAGATAGCTGCTTTGGGAGATCTTGACAACTAAAACTTGATCTCCATCCGAACTGAGGGTGTGATGGTAGAAGCTCATCAAGTTTGCTGTTGCCTACGTCTGTGTAACTTACCTTGATATTTGGGCTTCCCAGTTGGAGTTCTATAAAAAGGATGTGAAAAACATTTAAACTAGAAGTTGACCTGGCATTTTTTTTAAATATATGTTTCTATTGATTTTTTTTTTTTGTAAGGGAGAGAGATAGAAACATCAAAGTGAGAGAGAAATATCCATTGGCTCCCTCCTGCACACCCCCCTACTGGGGATTGAGCCCATAACCCAGGCATGTTCCCTGACTGGGATTCTAACCAGGACTTCTCAGCCCTTGGGACAATGCTCAATCCACTGAGCCACACCGGCCGGGCATCCTAGCACTTTTTAAAAGGTCATTAATTCATCAAGACTTGGACTGAGGCAAAAAATAGCTACACAGCCCTGGCTGGTTTGCTCAGCGGTTAGAGCGTCGGCCTGCAGTCCAGAGAGACCCGGGTTCGGTTCCCGCTAAGGGCATGTACCTCGGTTGCAGTTTGTCCCAGGCCCTGGTTGGGTCGTGCGGGAGGCAGCCACTCTATATGTCCTTTCACACCGATGTTTCTCTCTCTCTCTCTCTCTCTCTCTCTCTTTTCCTCTCTCTCCCTCTCACTCTATCTGAACAAAAAATGTTCTCAGGTGAGGATAAAAAAAAAATAGCTACACATTCTTCTTATGTTAATAAAATGCTCAGAATGATTGGGAACATTGATTCATTCATTTGACCAATGTTTATTGGGTGCTGTATTGGAGATGCTTCATGGAACGTGTATTGTAAACAGAGTGAGATGGGGGACTTCCCTGTTGGGGCCTCAGTCCTGGACTGCAGCAGGAGCACTGACCTGGCCCTGCTGGAAGCTGTCCAGTTAGATGACAGCTGTGTCCCTCAGCCCCAAGGCCAGAGCCTAGTCCAAGGTAGCCGGCCCCAGGTGGGAGAAATGTCATTCAAGTTTCATGTTTTATTTTAAAAATTCATGCAGATTTTATATTTTACTTTATAGTATTTATAGCTAAATAATCACATAAAACTAAATTATTTTTTCTTAAAAGAAAGAAAGAAAAGCCAATAGCCCTGGTTGGGTCGCTCAGTTGGTTAGAGCATTGTGCCAGTGTGCCAAAGTTGCGGGTTCAATGCCCAGTCAGGGCACATATAAGAATCAACCAATGAATGCATAAATAAGTGGAACAACAGATCAGCCCACCCTCACATTCCTCTTCCCCTCTCTCTCACACAAATCAATAAATAAAAATTTTTTAAAAAGCCCTGGCCGGTTTGGCTCAGCGGTTAGAGCGTCGGCCTGCGGTCCTGAGAGACCCGGGTTCGGTTCCCGCTAAGGGCATGTGCCTCGGTTGCAGTTTGTCCCCGGCCCCGGTTGGTTGTGCGGGTGGCAGCCACTCGATGTGTCCCTTTCACGTCGATGTTTCTCTCTCTCTCTCTCTGTTCCTCCCCCCCCCCCCCCCCCCCACTCTACCTGAACAAAAAATGGAAAAATGTCCTCCGGTGAGGATAAAAAAAAAAAAAAAAATTAAAAAAAAAAAAAGAAGAAGCCGGTAAACACATAGTCTTTATCCTCAAGAAACCAATATAATTTAATAAGTATCTGTTTTGGACCACAGAATAAATATGTACAAATAGTTTTTGGTATTCCTTGCTAATACTGTTAAAAATTACATTCTCTTGGACTCATGTAGTTGACCTCGCTCCTTTAGATTCGTTCTGTAGGTTGTGAGGTAAATACTTTCACTCTCCTAATGGAGTTGTGGTTTGTTGATATGTTTTACGTGGTAGGGCCATGAAACATTTCATCTTATGAAGGAAATAGTGCGTGAGTGCACACACGCACAGGGGCGTGCACACCCGCACAGGGACATGCACACACACTCTCTCTCTCAACCCATTTGAAAACATGAGGGCAAAGAGCGCAGAGGTCTTTTGTTCACTGATCTCTCCCAAATGTCAGACATAGGATAAGCACTCAGGAACTATTTGTTGAATGAATGAGTCACTTGAAACATTTGTAGAGAGGAGAACCCTATTATTTTGTATATGACTAATTATCCTGTATGAAAATCAGACTAGATCAGAGGAGGAAGTAGCAAGTGAGGTGACCCCTGGAAGACTTTTGAATAAGGTTCTGCCAAGGAAGCCAGTAAAGACGGCCCTTCACTAATAGAAAACCGAATCGTTGCAGTGTGTGTTTCATTTTGTGACCTAGCAACATTTGCACAGTGATGTCGTCTTGAAAGAGAAGATACGTTTCTGCTAAGAATAATGGCAGCTCACGGTGGGAGTTGCTTTCAAAGACCGGTGGTAATCTGTCAGTCGAGAAAATTAGACGAGAAAGCAAGGTGAACTTGGCAGTTCTGTCTTCTGTAGAGAACTCGGCCGGCCCGTCAGGTGTGAAAACACCTGACACCGCCACACTTGAGCGGGGCATGAAGGCTAAAGGCAGAGCTGTTTGTTTTGGTTTGAACAGCTTAGGAAGCAGGCTCCTTCTGTGTTCCATTGAAGCAGTTTCCCCTGCAACCGGCCCACCCTTCCCCCGTCTTCCCACTCGTTCTGTTTCCAGTGGTGGCGGTTGCCTCTGGGGAAGTTATTTCTAGGATGGGAGATGTTTGAAGTGCTGCCCGGTCTCTCCAGCCTAGGTTTACAGAAAAGACTCCTGCTCGGGGGACCCGTGTGCATTGGAGGGAACCACAGTCCACAGTGGAGCAGTGAGTGTGTGTAGCCGGTGTGACAGGCAGACACTCTCCTAATCATGGAGATGGGTGGATCTGGGACAGTGGCGCTTGTGAGACTTTAAAATGGGGCTGTCCTTTGCTTCTGCCCAGGAAGGGACCCCTCAGGAGACTTGACCGAGGCCCTGCTGAGCGTGTCTCCTGCTATTGGCCTCATGTCGGTCTTGCTTTTCTTTGATGAGGTTTGGTTGCGTTTATTTAAAAATCCAAAGTAAGGGAAGAGAGTGTTCATTTCTCCCTCACCCACAGGGGATCCACATCTGGGCGGTTCAGTGCTGGGGCGGTGGTGCTCTCCAGCTCACCTGGCCACCGTGTGGTTAGGTCCTGTCCTCGTGTTTCGGGATGGCAAATCCCAAATTCCCGGTGACAGGATGGGGGCGCAAACCGAAGAAAGGAGCAAAGGGCAAGCTTGCTGTTTGATTTGGTGACTAATGAGTGAAGGCTGAACTTCCCAGTACGTAAATCGAAAGATTCTTTACAGGCTCAGCTGTGCAGATGGGTCACCAGGACAGATGTGCATAGACCTCTGTGATCGACACCTGTCAAAGCCCACGGTGGTGCTACAAGCAACCAAGGCATTTTGTCTGCTTTCCTGGCCACACCCGTGACACGTTTTGGCCTCTGCCAGCGAGAGGAGTGATTCATCACAGTGAGAGTTTTTGTAACACTTTTGTATGGCCAGTGGCTTCAGGGGAGGCGAGAAAATCTGCCCAGCCACTCCCGTTTGCTTTCCCGGCCTCTTCCCCCGTCTGTGAGGCTTTCTGGTAGGGCCACAGTTTCACGAGAGAAGGATGCGCACAGCATAAAGGCAGGTTGTCCTCATGCGGGACACTTATTCCGGACGTGCCATCCTCAGCTACTTCTCTTCTACTTTTAGTCATTCTTTGGTGATCTTTCTCGCTTCCTTTAGTCCAGTGCTAGGAGCCGCTCCGTGCTGGCCTGGTGCTTGTGGGATTCCAGTGTTGTGCACTTCACTCCTGTGTCTCTTGGCAGAGAACTGGGGACACTCTGGTCCAGCTCTGCGCCAGGTCCAGAGACGGGAGTGACTCACTTTTCCTAGACCAAGAGCTTATTAGCAGTTAATTATCCTGCCTCCCAGTCTGGGGCTTTTAGAGAAACATCAGTCAGTGCTGATAACTTTTTTAGATATGTGTAGGGTCACACCCACCAGGAAGCTGTATTTTGGTGGGTTTTCTTCTGCCCCAAAAGGTTCTTGGATAATGCTGCACACTTTGAAGTGAGCGTCATGTATCTCCTAAGAAAGACTCCGTCTTCTATGTGGCACCCACGCACAGATGCCCTTGGAGTGTGTATATAAAAAGATTTATTGGGTAAAGTAGCTGAAGGCCATTAGGTTTTATTCCAAGAACGAAAAAACAGCGTGCCTCCATTACAAATTGATTAGATATAGACTTTGAATCACAGAAGAGACAGACATCAGGGTTTGAAGAGAAACTCTTATTAGTGGCACCCCTGGAATCTGCTTAGGTTCAATCAATAAATGAACTAACAGGTGCAGAGGTCGTTTGAAAAGGACGTGGATTCCATGTATGACATGGATTTATTGGTGAAACTAAATTAGATGCTGTGATGCTGATTCTCCCTGGCCTTGGCAGAGGCTAACCCAGCGGGAATGGAAAGCACCTTCAGGCCCTCTGGGAGCTAACTAATCTTTGAGTTTTTCTTTGTCCTGATAATCTTTTTCTTAATTTATGGGAATTGAGGAAACTGTGTTGGGGATTGAGTTTTTATTACCAAAGGCCCAGCATTTTTGGTATAGCGTCATTTCCATGGAGAGACAAGGTGCCAGCCAAGCACATTTCTTTAATAGTGATGGAAAGTCCGACCGGTGTGGCTCAGCAGTTGAGCGTCGACCCATGCACCAAGAGGCTGCTGGTTCGATTCCCGGTCAGGACACATGCCCAGGTTGTGGGCCTGATCCCCAAGTGGGAAGCATGCAGGAAGCAGCCATTCAGTGTTCTCTCTCATTGATGTTTCTATCTCTCTCTCCCGCTCCCTTCCTCTCTCTCTAAAATGAATAAAGGGAAAAGAAAATTAAAAGAACAGTAGCGAGGGGAACACCTTGCTAGTGCAGGAACTCGCATCCCTCGTTCTTCAGCATCACCCCCTTCCTGCCATCGGCCCTGCTGTGCACTTGGACTGAAAGTGATCGAGGAACCGAACACAAGCAATGCACTGACCTGAATCACTCAGTTTCTTTCTAGTAAATTAATCTTAGGTTGTATCGTGGATAAGACACTGTGAAAACAGCTCATTTGGCTTGACAGCATTCCCGTAAAGGTTTAACAAGTAATTGCCTGCTATCGGCATGTCTAGACAGCTGCATTTTAATTATGTGTCCTCCCTGAAAGGTGGAAATCATGAAAGTGATTCTGAAAATAGCAAAACACCTTAAGCAATTCACATAGATTTAACGTATTGATAGACAGGTGAGTATTCAGCTACGACCCACTTCAATAGGATCTTCGGGGAAATGGTTAGTAGGCCTGCGGAGCAGAGGCCTGACCATCTGAAAAGCCAATTTGGTTGACAGTGGCATGTTATTGGGAAAGGCAGCCACAGCTGAATTCTGTGTAAAGCACAGTAGTGACCAGTGTCCTCATACAAATTAGTTAAGCCATCAATTTTGGTGGAATAAACTGAAAGGGGTTTTGCCTTCCAAAAATAATAGAAACTACAGATTTTTTAAAAATGTGTTACTTGCCCTGGCCGGTTTGGCTCAGTGGTTAGAGCGTCCGCCTGCGGTCTGGAGAGGCCCGGGTTCGGTTCCCGCTAAGGGCACGTACCTCAGTTGCAGTTTGTCCCCGGCCCTGGTTGGTCGTGCGGGTGGCAGCCACTCGATGTGTCCCTTTCACGTTGATGTTTCCCTCTCTCTCTCTCTCTCTCCCTCTCTCTCCCTCCCACTCTGTCTGTACAAAAAATGGAAAAATGTCCTCGGATGAGGATTAAAAAAAAAAATGTGTTACTTGCCTTCCCAGGTTTTAGCCGGTATAATTTATTGTATTCCATAGTCTTTCTTTTTTTTTTTTTTATCAACATTTTTTTTTCTTGGCAGGTTCATATAAGTACCACCGGGTTAATTGTGACCCCACCCCCAAGCAGCCCGGTGACAACTGGCCCCTCGTTCACATTCCCGTCAGATGTCCCCTACACAGCTGCTCTTGGAGTGAGTATAGTGTCTCCCGTCGCTGCTTCCCTCTTGGGTATGGGTCCCATCAGTCTGGCATACCCCACCTCCTAACTCCTGCAGTTTAATGGCACTCGTTTGGATGTGTCTCTTATCTTTTACCTATTATCTCTGTTACGCTTACAAAAAAATGAGAAAGTCTCTTACCTGCAGCCTGCAAACAACTTTAACCCAAGGATCAGTGGCCTGAAACTATTAGAAGACCTCTGTACAATACGTTTAATTTTCATGAAAGTTCATCCTGGTGTCCTGAAGGCTTAACCTTTATTTCTTTTGAGTTTCTAGACCGTGCTTACTTCTTACAAAAACAGGTGAATAGAAATACCGAGAAAGCTGGGAGCCCCTCAGGCTAAATGGTTTTCTTCAGTCACCTAAGTCGATTTCAGATCTCTACCCTGACGCTTCACCTTCTAGTTTCCTGTCTTCTGTTGGTATAACCGTAGCCATGGCTGCCCAGAGGTCCCTGCTACCTCTGAAGGGCCCTCAGATTATGTTGATGTTCTTTCTGCAAACATAACACGTGCAGACACCATCTAAACACTTAATTGCTTTAAAACATCCTAACAGGGAAAATTAATAGGAAGAATGAGGGCAGCCAAGGGAGGTAGATACAAAGAAGAAGAACACGCTGGAGAGAAAATTAAAAGGGAAGAATCAAGCCCATGCAACCTCAGGTAGCAGAAGCACAATAGTTAAATCCCTGTTTCCTAAAATTACATGCTATTGAACTACAAAGAACCAGCAATTGTGAGACATTTCTCATCCAGGCCAATGCGGTGGCTTATCCTTTCGGATGATTTCTTTCGGTGCTGAGTTGAATGAAGATAGAAGAGATCGCTAAATCAGATGTCCCCAGTGGACCCCACCACTATAAATTACTTTACCAAATCTCACCTGGTTGTGATGCCTTCAGAGAAATGGGGTGGCCCGGTGATGGGGGCATAAACCTGGGTTGGAAGCCCGGTTAAGCCACTTACTTGTTATATGACCATAAAAAGTTACTCAGCCTCTTTAAGCCTCTGCATCCTTACCTGTAAAATACGACTCATAGTACCTGCTTCGGAGAGGTAGCACTATGCCTAGGACGTAGAGAGAGGTGACTGTTGTTGACCTTGTTACTGGCCTCGACTGAGGACTCTTTCGAAGTGGGTCTGTGACATGTGTCTCTGGTTTGCTTTAAGAATATCTTGGAGGACCGGGTTCATTTTGTTACGGTTTTCTTTGCTCTATGTACCAGGAATAGTGAGGTTTCTAAGCAGCTGGTTTGTTTTTAGGTTGTGGATTTTATATGTGTTGTGAAGATTATTTATCCCTCTGCTGGAATGCCTAGAACCAAATTGGTACCCTTCTCTAGCTGGGATCTCACGTTATTAGTCAAAATGTTGGCTCCATCTAGTTTTATTGTCCTTATTTTCCCTCTGCCTCCATTTTCCTCTTGTATATTTGTCTTGATACATTTAGAAATCATTGTAGACTGACTTTGAAACGAGGTGGGATGTGAATAAATGCAATTATTACCTAGCTTGACTTAGACTTTTGAAAATGTTTTATAGAGTTAAGTATGTTCTTGTATTTAAATGGAAATTAATAATGTTCTCATTATGCCCTGGCTGGGTGGCTTGGTTGGTTGGAGTGTTGTGTCCCATACACCAAAAGGTTGTAGTCTTGATTCCGGTCAGAGTACATACCTAGTTTGTGGGTTCAATCCCCCGCTGGGTTGTGTACAGGAGACAGCCAATCAATGTTTCTCTCTCACATCATTGTTTCTCTCTCTCTTTCTCTCCCTCATATCAAGGAAAAAATAATAATATTCTGGTTAAAGATTAAAGTGTTGTTTTTTTATGTTCCCAGAATGATAATAGCTTCCTTGGTTGTACCCATGTTGGTGTGGGAGGGTGAGTAGCACTGATACATCTGGGGAGAAGACAAGATTCAGGTGACTTACGGACCTGTGGTTGCCCTGAGATTCAGGTGCCGCTGGGTATTTGGTAGGAGCTGACCATCCTGTGCTCTCAGCCCGGAGAAGACTGTCCTTCCTTCCCTTCCCCCACCGCACTTTCCGCCAGTTAGTGTTCCCATCCCTAGACGACTACTTCACATGGTAAAATCCTAACTTGATTTCTTAAAGGGAAAAAACCCCAACTTTCCTCATCTTAGAAAAATTAATTAGCGGAAAAGACATCGAGCTGGCTGAGTTTCACCCCTTGTGGCCTAACAACTTTACGACATAGTAAATGGCCCATCGCTGGTGGCTGGAGGCGCACTCCAGGGCAAATCAATGGGACCAGCCACGAGAGAGCAGAGATATACAAAAATTAATTTGCAGTCAACGATTTTGTCCTTGGATTACCTAAGAAAGCTTGCATGTTAAGCAAGAGGAAGGTTTATTAAATGGTGTGTCTACTGTGCCAATTTCACTTAATGAAAAACAAATTATAAACAGACATATCTGTCATCCCAGGAGATGTCTCGATCTCAAAGTCCCTGGTAGGTTGGCAGAAGTGTTTTGCATTTAATATGTTAGGTTTAAGTGGAAAAAACTCCCAGTAGCATGTGCCCTCTGCGTCTCTCATTAATCATGGCCGGCGTCCTTTCGGAAGTGTGACGTGTTTCCCAAGACTTTGAGCAGCTGTGCAGCCTGGGAGGAAGGGAGCCATGCTTTTCATGGGTGGATTTATAGGCAATAAATGCCCCCCTGGACTGGAGCATGAGAGTTCTCTTTTGTACTCTTTATGAATTGGGACTTTTTAATCTTTTATGCCAAATGAAGTTATGAGCATATTGTCTCATACATCTCACATGGAACAGTTAAAATGTCAAATATCTCATCTTAGGAACAAACTGTTATTACATCTCTCTAATTCAGACATCAGTCTATTAATAGTAGTGAGGGATTTTTCCGACTAATTATTTTTATATTATTTTTTTTTCTTTATTGATTTTTAGAGAGAAAGGAAGGGAGAGAAAGAGAAACATTGATGAGGGAGAACATTGACTGGCTGCCTCCTGCATGCCCCTCATTGGGGATCAGACCCACAACCTGGGCATGTGCCCCCACCTGGAATCGAACCGGTGACCTCTTGATGCATGGGTCAATGCTCAACCACTGAGCCACATCAACCTGGCCCGACTAATTTTTTGAAGGGAGGAGGATGAAGATCTTAGTCTTGTATCATCTGTACAGCGGTAGGAGAACTTTTGAAACAAGTGATTCATAGTTGCTGATCCTCTCTGCCAGCTAAGGTGTGTTCAGCTACAAGATGTCACAGGGTACCCAGGTCAATAAAGGCCAAATATAGCCCACAGCCAACTTATAAACAGATTGCATTCCCAAAATGTGTGACCCTAACTGTTTTTTATTTTAGACACACACACGCACGCACACATTGTTTGAAGAAACAGAATTCAATGATGTCAGGTTCTCAGAATAGCCAGCATGTAAATAATTCATTATAGCCCACGGCAGAGGCTAACAGAACTCACTGCAGTGTGCAGGAGCAGGGAAGGCCTCTGGAGGTGGAAGGATGGGCCTACCTTCTGTGGGAGTTTGAGAGGAAGAAGGAGAACCTTTGGAATTGGCAGGAGTTCCGAAAATGGGGTGAGGAGTAGGATATGGCCCCTCAGGGGCGGAGGCCTTTTGACCCATCGCACATTTGTTCTAAAGGGGTGGAGGCACAGTATGTTTTCTCATTCGTGAAACATCCATTGCGGGTGTGTTCTGTCTGCAGAGCAAGGTGCCGGTGGCACAGATGAGGCAGGCCCCCCTGACTCCCCAGTCTTGGGAACCACAACAGCGCTTGGCTTCAGTTTTGCTCCAGGGCAGTCGGAAGGGCCTCACACCTGAACCTGTTCTAATTATAATTCCATGTCACAGATCCACCTATTAAGGTATAGAGACCTTGTGTAATTTATACAAAGTCAATTAACTAGCATAGGTATCTCTTCTTACAAATCCACTGTGCAAAAATACATATACAGTTTATGAGCGAAATTCCTTTCCCGAAGAGATTTTTTTTTCCTAAATGACCACATTCTTGCCCTGGCCAGTTTGGCTCAGCAGTTAGAGCAGCAGCCCTCGGACCAAAGAGTTTTGGGTTCGATTCCAGTCAAGGGCATGTACCTCAGTTGGAGTTCGGCTCCTGGGCCTGTTTGGGGTTGTGTGGGAGGCAGCCAATCGATGTTTCTCTCTCACATTGATGTTTCTCTCTTCCTCCCTCCTACTCTATCTGAAAATAAGTGGAAAAATATCCTCGAGTGAGGATTTAAAAAATAAATCAATAAAAATGACCACATTCTTAATTCCATCTTCCCCTTTAGACATCATCTTCTAAGCATCCATTTCTAGCATTTTTATTCATTTATTTATTTATTTATAAATATGTTTTTTAATTAATTTTTTTAGAGAGAGAGAAACATCGATGTGAGAGAGAAACATCAATCGACTGCCTCCTGCTTGCCCCCTGCTGCGGATCTAACCCGCAACCCAGGCATGTGCCCTGACCAGGAATCGAACCAGGACCTCTCAGTCCATGGGATAACGCTCAGTCCACTGAGCCACCCCAGCGGGGCCATTTTTAAAATACATTCTTTAGCCCTGGCCGGTTTGGCTCAGCGGTTAGAGCGTCAGCCTGCGGTCCTGAGAGACCCGGGTTCGGTTCCCGCTAAGGGCGCGTACCTCAGTTGCAATTTGTCCCCGGCCCTGGTCGGTTGTGCGGGTGGCAACCGCTCGATGTGTTCCTTTCACATCGATGTTTCTCTCTCTCTCTGTTCCTCTCTCTCCCTCCCACTCTACCTGAACAAAAAATGGAAAAATGTCCTCGGGTGAGGATAAAAAAAAAAAAAAGAAAAAAAAAATATATATATATATATTCTTTAATTTTTTCCTTTTTCTTCACAGTTGTACCCACAGTTGACTGGCTTAATTACAATGAGCATCCACCTAAGACAAAAGACTCCCTTTTTTTCCATCTTTATCTTAA